ATTGTAATGCCAGAACACACTACCATGACTGTCTAAGAGTGTGCAAAGCATACTTTCAGGTGTAGGCCATAATTTTTAAATAGAAAAGAGTCATAAGATTTTTAATTTGATTTTACAATAGCTGCTATATTTACCAAAGTAGTATATACATGTAAGGATACATTTTGGGATGACTAGATATCTGATCTTACCTAGGGATGAGGTGTGTGCAATTGTACTTCACACTTAGTTTTCATGAAGGGCAAAGTAAAGGGTTCACTTAGCTTCACCCCTCCCCAGCAGCATGTACTAATATTTCCTCACTGCAATACCAATCTCTGTGGTTGTAAAGATCGGGGAAAGAAACCCCTTGTAAGTTTCAATCCAACTTACAGAAGCTCACATAGGACTCTGGACTACTTTCTTAGCCCCACAAGACAGCGCTGGGCCAAGCAAGAGGCACCTAATACTGTCACATGGGAGAAAGGAAATTAGTCTTATGCTCACCCATACCTGGAAATGCCCCCCAACAGCTGTACAGAGCACCAAGGGAGAGAAGGAAAGGTGAGTATATGCTGCTTGGGAGGGATCATACTGAACCCCTTAATTTGTCCTGCATGGGCAAAGAAAGGTTCACTTTGAGTTGCAAAGTTCAGGTCCCAGCACGGCAGATGATATTTATTTTTGCTCTCACAAATGGCCAACTGAAAACAAGTGGATGCATTTGCAGACCCAAACTGTGAGGCTTAAGATCATCACAACATACACTTCAACCCAATCCAAAGATGTTTCTATACTGGCGTCCTCCTTTAATTGTCCCATTCACTTTGTGTTATTGTGCAGACAATTCACTCCACAAACAGGGTGTGGTAATTCATTAAGCATTTTATGCCAGACCAAAAGCTCTACTGAAAATCTCTAGAGACAAGCTGTTATTGTCCTGCTCCATAGTAGCACTTAGAAAGAAGCAGAAAATAAGTTTACCCCCTGCTCATGGAGCAACAAAACAGACTTTATTAAAATGGCTTATTTGAGATGAAAAGATTGTTTGCTTTTTTGAAGTTAAATAAATCTGTGGTTTAAAAAAATTAATAGCAGCAAATTACACGGAGAAAACCAGATATCAATTGATTACAGTGGTTTTGTAATTGTGAAACAATATGTCACTTTTCCCAGACGACACTGAGCTTACCTCTGCATGGATCATTTTTCACCAGAAATTCGTCCAGTGCCATCCAACCGCCACCAACCCGAACCATCACCGTGCTCCGCAAAATACGGACGAGACGTAATTGCTGGGAGTCACCAAACTTGGAAGAAACAAATTTAAAAAGTAAATATCTGAAGTAGAGAGGGGAATACTGGAACATGCCTATGTGATTGACATGTGAAAATATGCAGTGGAAGTGAGATCTTCAGTAATATTAGTTAACAAATTTAAGTGAATCTGTGCATACAAATCTGAAACACCCATGCAGCACCAACTGAAGCATAGTGATTAAAGCAATGGGCAGTTATGGCATGAAAAGAAAGGGAAATAAGCAATGTTATACAACCCACAATGCATCTGTTTCAAATAACGGATTATGGCCAGTTATACACGGCAAAGAATTGCAGACACACAACATGTAATACTTTGTTTAATGTGCCTGTAACCTACCTATGCAGGTGTACACACTCTAGATATTATTTTTGAAGAGTGTACACTTGGCAGAACATTTTCCTGTTAACAATTTGTGATTGTATTTGGTTTAGCAGCAAGCTTATACCATGATCTCAAAATAGTGGCTAATATTAATTTTGGATCTGAGTACAACGATGAAAAATGGTTTTAGAATTGACATCTCAGAAAGGAAAATTACATATGTTGCATGTCTCATTTTCTGCAGGTTTCTAAGTGACCTTAAAAAAAACCATGACAGCCCATTCAGATTAGAAATGATTATAATTTACATTGATTGACAGCCATTTTGACAGCCATTTTGCCTCAATTTGTCTTAAGCTCATATAGTGCCCCAGTCACATGCAACCCCTCTCCTTACACAAACCATTGACAGGAGAGACTATTGATGTGATTAGTGCCCTCTTTATTGGCAACTTGAACAATATGGACCGTGTCATGATCTGCTTAACTCTAGGGGGTTAATTTACAAAAAGCAAATAGGCTATTCACTTTGCAAGGAATTTTCCCTTGGGTTAGTGAATGTGTTGAAAATTCACATTGCAAACAATACCCAATAACATACAAGGAAAATGTAAAAAAAAACAGGCTGAATGTCAGGAAAGAGGACATGATTTGACCCAAACCAAATACAAAATATTGGTTTGTATGGACTAAGACAGAAGGCAGGAACTGGCACAAGGATCCATAAATATGTGGGCATAGCTGCTGGACAGCACGTTTTTTTGTAAATTAAGGGTAAGGTCTTTTTGTATATTTTATATTTGAAGGCCTTGGTTCTGTCACCAAGCAAGTCAATGCTAGACAGAAGTAGTGAAACTGTGTGACAGATTTACTACAAGGTTACATCTTGAGTCATAAATTCTCTCCTCTAAAGTAGCACTGCTAGAGGAGAAGGTGACACTGATTGCTTCTTAATTATGTGACCTGAGTGAAAATCTGTTGCATATTCAGCAATAAATCTGTCTCAAAACTTTTAAAACTGCCGCACTTGGCTGCCCAGGAACACACAGCAGAGACTTTGCTGAAGGAGAAGAGGCCTGGTTGGTGACTAATTGTGTCCCTAATTTGCTTCATTAATGTCCCCTAAGGTTTTTCTGCCTTACTATTTCCCTTTATTTGTCCACACCAGTGCTCTTTCTATAGCAACGTGCAAGTTTTAACTTGCATTTTGTATAGATTTTCAACAAACTGATGTGCTGCTGGTATTCAAATCCTTCACAGTAATCAATGGCAGTATAACATGTCCCACCTCCTTCAATGTAATACTTATTGTGAATGTCAACCTACAGTATGTTACAGTCACATTATTGGTGGGGTTTAATGGCATTTGCATGCATGGCAAACAAAGGTCAGTGTATACTGTACAACAAATAAACAAAGTTAGCATCATGATGAGAGCTGCTTTCTGAAACACCTACAACTATTACAAAGCCTCCACTACACTGCATAGTCTGAATTGTTTTTACAGCCTCCAGTACCAATGATGCTTACATTAGTGCTGCGTCCTCCCTCCAAGCTGAGTACAAGTAAGAAGAGGCTGGCCATCATTCTCTACTTTTGTTGCCCAACATTCATTCAACCTTTTAAATGAGTTTTGCAATCAAAACTATCAATATTTGCTTAAGTCATATTCCAAAAGTATGCAACAATTAAAATGTCATAATTTGTAGATTATTAATAGGTAATTTAGATACATGCTCAAGGCCCATTGAGGCCAACGAGGCACGCTTTCATTCTCAAAATTAGACTTATCGGGTAAAAATGTATTAGTGATTTGTAAAGCTTTAGCTCACACACAATTCCACATAATTAATTAACTTGATTAACTTAAAATTATAACAATTTTAACACAATGTGATTCCACGTAATTACTGAAGGTTGCAGATAATGCTATGGCTACATTCTTTCCAAATGATACAAAGAAATAAATCAGCCATAGCAACATTGGACTGGAGATATATGAAAAATTATTTATAACAGATGGTAACTAAGCCCCTTCACCCGCACAGGAATAGATTTTAAAAAAGTATTATAAGATGGATGTGAAGGTTACGGTAAGGTGACAGTGATCATATATTGCAAGCTTTAATGATCAGTAACACACAGAAGAACTTTATGTTTTACTGCTTTATACCTGATTTCCCAGGAAAAACTGATAGCAACAGGAAAAATGGAAAGAAAATACAATTAGTCTATGCGTATTATTTAAATATGAAAAATTAAATATATAACAACTACCACAGTACAGGATATGTTTAACTGTGTAGTGTACTGAATTTTCTTATGGTTTATATATATACAGTTCTTGCATCTACTATGTAAATCTCTAAAATTATTATAAGGTCTTATCAACTATGCAAAAAATCCTTACTTATTTGATATCTGGAGTAAATCTTAACATTGATTATCCTAATTCACAAAAAGGTACAACTTTAGCACAACTGGGAACATTCCAAGCCAAGATCTGCCTTTGGAAAAACTGAAAAAAAATGCGCTCAACTTAATAAAATAAAAAATTAGCATTTGTTACATTCTTGCATTGGAGCCTGCAGAGCACTGCATTATGGGTGCAATGTATAGGCTCCTGCAGACTCTTTTCTCAGCCCTAGGTCTGTACTGAGGTACAGACCTTCTGTTGTGGGGCTGGTGGAAGTAAACACAGGTCCTCAAATATGGTGAGGTCACTGGACTTGTGCTATATTGGGATCTACAAGTCCCTCTGCCAAAGTAGGAGATGGGACTTGCAGTCTTTCCATTCACAAATCCCTTTAAATGGATTTGTGAATAGATGACAAAGCTGTGCAGGCAGAACCACACGCAGTTGAGCAAAATTAAAATGGG